CCCCCCCCCCACAGTAAACACGGAAGTAGCTGAGCTGCAGCGTCGGTTCCCTTAAACAGTTTGTTCTTGAGAAGGTTCACAGACGCCACCGGGATTCAAACCCTGCACCGTGAGCACAGAACTGACCGGGGGTCAGTGCCGCAGAGCGGGATGGAGAAGTGGCTGATGTTGGCGGTGTCGCTGAGTCTGGTCGGGGTTCAGGTGAACTGCAGAAGACTCACTAACGCACAGGTGAGTTGTTGTTACGTCAAACCACAGACACGACGCCGGGTCAGTGGAGTGTCTGTTACTCTCAAACACATAGAGATGAATAGAAGTGAGCTCTGACTTCCCATCACGTGGTGAGTTATTGTCTTGTGATGGAGAGAACCCAGTGACAGTAAGAGTCTCGACATGTGATCGTCAGGAACCAACAGGATACACATTGAAAGAGTTCCTGCATTCATGTGTATGATAATAATGTTTATTCACGTGTGCACCGCTGCTGCGTTCACAGATTTGGGGTTTTGACTGGAAGAACTGTGGGAAGCCTGATGATCCGGCCGTCCTCAAGGCTCTGGCCTTGTCCCCGGATCCCATCGCCATCCCAGGAGACCTGACGGCCTCGGCCTCTGGAGCCACATCTGTGGAACTGGCTGCTCCTCTTTCTGTGAGTTCACCGACTCTTGTCTTATCTTTTCTGAAGCCACATAATCCTGTGAAAAACAGAAGCTTGAGACGTGACAGTTAAGTCAGCGGGGGTTCCGTCCGTCCACGAGACCCATGAACGCTTCATTACTCAAGACAAGTTTTAACGTCTTGTGCAAGATTGTTTTCTGTCCTCTCGAATCAAAACCAGGCGTGTCTGAACCTGCAGCTGCTTCATGCGATCAGAGCAGGACGAGCACATGGAGCCGGGAACATTTGAGAGAAAACAACATGTCCTGAGGTGGAAAAACTATCTGCGACCAAATTAGAGAAAGTGTGGAAATAAAAAGTATCTTAACGAGCCCTGAAAGTGTCGTGAAACGTTCTGGTGTCCTGCTCTGTTAAATGCAATACAAATGATGGGGACACAGCTGAGGACATTTGTCAGACTTCACACAAAAGCTTTTTACATGCATGAGTTAAAACTTAATTAAAAACAGGTTAATAGATTTTTGATTTCTCCCGACTTAAAGGATGAAACTGATTTCCTGCGTGAGTTCCCCTCACGTCCTCATCATGAGGACCTGGTGTGGAGAATCGTTTCAGTTCTCTGGTCAACATCAGTGAACTGTGTAAAATCCTCGTGTTCATGTGACTCCCCCAAAGCTCCGGTGAACATTTCCACACTCTACAACAGTCTCATTGTTCTCGTCTCATTGTTTGTGTATTAACTCCATCTCCTGCGAATAGAAGAGTTTAATCGTGCTGAGATCGTCAGTGCTTCACAGAGAAAATGGAAAAGCAACAAAGACAAGAAAGCATTTAGACGGAAGAGTTAAAGAAACGTAAAGTAAGCAATTATTTGATTGAATAAAAGACTGTGGTGGACACGAAAGTCTCCATTCTGGATTTAAAAGAACTGAGATTCAAACATCTGCAGTTCTCAGGAGTTTGTTCCACATACGTGACAAAAAAACCAACTCAACTTCGCTCAGTTTAGTTTCTCTGGGGACAGAAAGCAGAACCAGATCACCTGAGGTCCGGATGTATTTTGATTCATAAACCCACAGCAGCCAGTGGAAAGAGACAATGCAAATATCAAAACCTGTGTTGTGATTGTACGAGGGGAATAATTACAACCGAAGAAGAGCTGCTACTTCTGAAAAACACCTCAACCACTCAAAACGGCCTCGTCTCCTGTCCTGATCCTTTTCACCCCCGTCCTGTTTGTCAGTCAGAAAAACTTCTAAACAGATTTCCTCTCCTGAATGTTCCTGTTGCTGTGAACGACGGACGATCTGCTGCTGCTTCACATGAGAGACACTAACTCCCGTCCTTCTGCGTCTCGTCTCCTCAGGTGAACGTGACCCTGGAGAAGGAGGTGGCGGGCTTCTGGGTGAAGGTGCCCTGCGTGGATGAGATAGGCAGCTGTCACTACCAGGACGTCTGCGATATTCTCAACCATCTGATCCCACCGGGTCAGGACTGTCCTGAACCGCTGCACACATACGGACTGCCCTGCCGCTGCCCCTTCAAAGCCGTGAGTCCTCTCCACTGATTCCTCCCGACCTCAGACAGTTTTCTACTGTAGAGGAAACAGCGTCGACAGCTTGGTTTGTTGTGTTCACCTGAGATAAATCTCAGCTGCGCTTTGTGCCGAGTGTTATTCAGTCCAAGTCGCCAGCTGCTCTCGCGGCCGTCGACTCGTTACGACTCCAATTTAACGATCTAAGCTCACAATCTGAGCTCAAGGTGCAAATGTAGTTCCCGTTGATATTTACAATGAAAAGTCTCTTTGTGACTCAGCTCGTGTGAAATATAAACCAAATGTGACCCGACCCCTCGTGTCTCCTCAGGGCTCGTACTCTCTCCCTCAGTCCAACTTCGACCTGCCCGACGTGGATCTGCCGTACTGGCTGACCAACGGGAACTATCGGGTGCAGGGCGTCCTGGGCGGCGGGGGCAAAGAGCTGGGCTGCCTCAAACTGGCTCTGTCCCTTCACTCCAACTGAACAACGACCCGGAGCAACAGGAGGCGTGAGGGGAGAGTTTGGTTTGTTTGTTTGCACGAAMAAAAAAAAAAGAAATTGGGAAATGAAAGCAGAAGTCCTGCAACTGATAAAACCAGATAACAGACACACGTTATACATTAACCCGCAGAACCACAAGAGTCTATAAAGTATGGTACGAAACATAGATTCTGTTTTTACGCACAAAAACAAGTTTTTCCTGTTTGTTGAATTCATCTGAGCCATCAAACCTTTTTTTATTAAGCTTCATTTACCTGCTACAAACTCCAAAATAACGTTTCTCCAAGAAAGAAAAACCGGAGCTGATTTGAGGTGACAAGACGTTTTATCCAGATGTTTGTGGATAATTTAGAATAATTCTGGTGAAGCGAAAGCTCAGAGGAATCTCGTGGTTTGCATCTGATCTGCCTAATCTTGTGCCAAAAACTGAGATCTCTGCAGGCATGAGCATATTTCTGTTGTCTGCAAAGGAGAAGAGGAGCCTGACAGATTAATACTTTTCAAAATGCCCAATACAAAGTAGATCTAAACACAAAATCTAAAATAGAACTCGTCAGTCAAGAGGAAATTGAAATGTAAAAATTGAAATGTTTAAACATGGAACAAGGAACCAAGAGTAAAAGGGAACCAAGACATTTAAATTAACTCAACAGCTGCAGAGGTGACGTTCGAGTGTTGAACTTTTATTTTAGCTAATTCTTGCACTGTGTCTGTTTTGATTCAAAATGTATAGAAAGTAAAATCTTTCCATGTGAGCTGTTTAATTCAGCTCCCATCAAAACCAATGACAACCAGACCATAACAAACATTTACCTATGTAAAGATTTGAAACCTCTGGGTTTTATTTAATAAAGTCGCAATAAAGCTTCACACCTTTGTTTTCAGATCCTCTTTGTCGTCGACTGATTTTTCTCTGTAGTTAAAAAATAAGGATGTTTCTGATCCTGTTTGAGTAACATGAGATACTGAGGTGCGACCAGGAGAGGGCGATCTTCTCATGTCTTCAACCCACAGTGCCTTTCTGCTGCAGCTCAGTCACATCGAGCTTCACTTCTTCACTTTGAGGATAAACAGAACTCAAACATTAATAATTAGAAATAATAACGACGCTCCTCAGGTTGGTCAAAAATGTTTTTAAAAAAATTTATTTTTTTTTGCTGTAAAACTTTGAATTTGTCCATTTTGTCTGAATGTAAATCAAACGTAGTCGTTCTGTTGCTTTTCAAAATCAGAACTTTAACATGTTCATTTGTGCTTTTTCATCTGAATGTGAAGATTCTTTACTTAAATAGTTGCAATCAAGATTTATGTTGTTTTAAAACGATGAGTCAAAGTTTATTTTTAGTTGATGGTGATTTTAAATGTGATTTTCTACTCTGCTGATGATAATGGAGTCACAGATTTTAATAAAGCTAATGACAGATGTTGTGACTTTTGTTCTCTGATGTTTTTGTAATCAAACGTTGAATTGTTCTCACATAAAACCAGAGAAAAACTTTTATCAGTGACCGAGTTGAGAGAGAAAAATCTAATTTAAGTTGTTTAAAGAAATGATCAGTTATCATAACACACGACCTCTGCAGTGTGAATGTGCATCATCACATTTCTGCAACAAGAAGAAACCAGATATTTAATAAAAATAACAAACTGGTTTCTTTATGATGACAAAGACCATTGAGCGTAAAATCTGATTTTGCTTCGCTGCAGCGGTGAAGGTTAAACAGGAAGCGGCAACGAAAACAGAAACACAAAAGGAGGAAGGTGAGGAATTACACACAAGGGAGCTGAAGCTTCCAACACAACGTGGACTCACAACGTGGACTCAACACTGGACACCATTTGTTTTAATTTCTGGATTAAATAATTCTTATCTCTGAAAATGACAAAACCATTACAAAAAGCAGAAATTGAACAGGTGTGTGTGTGTGTGTGTGTGTGTGTGTGTGTTTGTGTGTTTGTGTTTGAAACCTGTGGTTCTGCTGCTGAAAATCAGAATCTCGTCCATTAACTGCTTCTTGTTTTGTGGTTTGTGATAAAAGTTGCACGCAGACAAACGACAGAGCGACTGCTCACACACACACACACACACACACACACACACACCTGACTGTGACCTCTGACCTTTCTCCAGAGCTCGAGGCTTTTATTCCAGAAAACACGTCCCCGTGTGGACTCACGGCTACTGTATGAAAATAAACATGTTGAAGAGAAACAATCAAAACCAGAGTTTCCTCCAACATTCAACATGTGTGTGTTAGCGAAGCACCTTGATGTGTGTGTGTGTGTGTGTGTGTGTGTGTGTGTGTGTGTGTGTGTGTGTGTGTGTGTGTGACAGATGTGGACCACTTGTTCCTTCAGACAGGAAGTGAACTGAATGTTTTTTCAACAGCAGCATTTAAATCAAAGAGAAGGAAACATGGTTTCACTTATAGAGCGACCACAGCATAGAACACGCACACACACACACACACACACACACACACACACACACAGGGATGATGACTATATTTGTCTAATGTCAGCTACCAAGAGTCGGACAGAAACAAGTAATTCCCGTTTCGATTAATTTGTGGAAATCTTTAATATCAGAATATAATTTTTGCAGCTCAAAGACACTTCAGATCATAGTGACACAACAAACACAACAAACAACACAACTCTGCATTTACATTCATTAAAACACTTCCTGGTAAACGACTCTTTTATTTTATTTAACTCACCACATTAATATTGAGGCTGTGAAACCTGTGTGTGTGTGTGTGTGTGTGTGTGTGTGTGTGTGTGTGTGTGTGTGTGAGGTCAGTGGGCCATGATGAGCTGGAGGAAGATCCACAATCACAGGAAGACACAATTAACCCCGGAGATACTTACACATGCACTGACACACAAACGCACACGTGTTGAGACGCGGGTGTTTCCTGTGTGTGTGTGTGGTTAATTGTGTCTCTTTTATCTCATCAGCCTGATAACACAACAACTACACAACACACACAGGCTGGGTTTTGTGTTTTCACTTCTTTCAACACTTGACATGAAGTCAGATCTCTGCAACTCTTCTGCAAACAAGAATTCAGACGTGAACTTCATGAATGAGAGGAAGCGATGGGCGGGGGGGGGGTGACACAGACAGGGAGGTCTGATGTTTGACCAGTTCTACCACAGACAGACAGACAGACAGACTGATTACAGACAGACAGACAGACAGACAGACTGACAGACAGCAACAAACAACACACAGCGACAAATGCAACAAAGCAGAAGGAGGCTGACGTCCATGTTCACAGGAAACACAATGCAGCTGATATATTTGTATTTATCTGCAGTTTGTTCTCGTTCATGTTTTTCTTTTGGTCTGAGGAAACTTCACTCTTCATATTTAGACCAAACTGAGAAGTTTGAGGGTCTGAAACAAACAAGGTGTGAATGTTTAACCTGTCTGGTTCCACCAGGACCAGCTCCCCTGGTTTAGGGTCTCACTGGTTAAAGTTTGGGAAATTCTCCTCTCCTCTCCTCTCCTCTCCTCTCCTCTCCTCTCCTCTCCTCTCCTCTCCTCTCCTCTCCTCTCCTCCTCTCTCCTCTCCTCCTCTCTCCTCCTCTGCAGGACATCCTGCCTCTGGCCTCCACCATCAGACCGTTTCCTGTGGCAGGAAACTTGTTCCCAGATGCAGGGGAGGAGGCGGAGGATGGAGGATGGCGATGAGGAGGAGGAGGAGAGGAGGAAATTCTGCAGAAGTGTTTAAGGAAAAGAAAGAAGGGTGGAGAGGTGAGGGAGTCAGACAAAGAGGTGATGATGACGAGGAGGATGAAGGAGCGGAGAGGTCAGAGGTCGACACGTAAACAAACAAATCAGAGGTTCCGTGGGACAATAGAGGAGGAGGTGAGCGGGTTCAGCTCCGGCACTGATTGGGCGTCAGCAGAGCCGTGTCATCACCTGGTGTCACGAGTGTTCGGCCAATGAGACGACGGCTCTGACAGACTGACGGCTTCATTCTCATTGTTCGTCTCTTCACAGCAAAACACATTTTTATATTCCAGGTCAAATTTTGTACTTTTTATTATTTCTAAAGATTATTTATTGATGCAAACACACACACACACACACACACACA